GATAAAAAGATGAAGTCTAAACGACTTGAATACGTGAGAAGGTTCCCTCGTTAGCTGGTTGTTTAATCTAGCACAACCACAACGTTCAACAACTGTGAAGTTTTTCACGAACACATCAAATACATTACGTGGTGTACCAGAAGATATGATCGTCGATAAAAATGAAGTTATGTTGGCGATGAAGGAAATGTCAGGTCTTGATGAAAAACAATTAGTTAAATGCCATGGAAAAACGTCAAAAGAAACTGCACGATCTTTAATTAAGTTCTTATATCCAAATCCTGAACCAAAGTTCAGCTTTTCAAATATCAAAAAATCTGTTATTAATTCGATTATTAGTAAGTTCTGCTTTGCGTATATTTTAATTGACCGTTATTTCTAATAAATAGATTATACTAAATACTCCAATCCATATGATACTGCTTCTGATGCAGAAATTCGAAAATCTATGAATAATTATTTTACGTCACTTCCACGCAAAAACAAAACCAAGACTATTCATCGTCCGAATCAAATTGCTGAAGAATCAAGCAACAACAATAACATTATCCAGAATTAAAATAAAAAAAGATTGTTTTTTTTGTTGCAATGCATATAGAACAGATAGATTTTCTGATTTCTAACAAAGTCTTGTATATTCTTTCACTTCTTTTTTCAATTTATATTCACGCAAGTACTGTCAATTCTTCGAAATATAATCATAAGTCATGTTGTTATATGTTGAAACCGACATAATCTATAGAGAAAGAAGTATACCATACCCTTTCTCCTTTTTTTCTTTTATATTAAAATAACTTGTGTTGTTTTCATATTTCCTTTTGTTCACATTTGTTGTTGTTTTTTCTATACGGTATTATCTACATTGTTCTACCTATCCTAGTTTCATTCTATTCCTCTTTCATCCACAGCTAGAACAGCCTTTTCTTGTGGCTTCGTTCTTCTTTTTTTTGGTCTTAATTAAACTTAAAACATATGTAGTAGAAGAACGATGTACAAGAATTAAAAATGATTATTAACGAAATACAAATTTGACATATTGAAATAAGAACTTATTGTTTATTCTTCATCGTCTAGTCATCAGTGCAGTCTATACTAAAGTGAATACTTCAGCGAAAAACAAACTCATTTACATAATGATATAAAGTACAGAAACAAATGAGAGATAGTGGAAGAGTTATTTAAATATAAAAACGAAGCTAATGAAGAGTGAAGTGTTCATATTGACAATTTTCACAGAAATATTTTCTTTCAATAATGATGAATCAACATAAATAATATGTCAATAAATTTTTATGATAGTTGACTTGAAATTTTCTTTTTTGTCATAAGAAAGTTCGTACATGTGTATTGCTGTGTATTTCTTACAGATTACGACTGAAATGGGATTTAATTGATAAATAAGCATTCTATTTTCCAGCTTCAACACTTATAAATGATTGAAATTATCATTGAAATTGATGTTAAAATTATAGATTCAAAAAAAAAAAATTATACGTTTTTCAAAACGATAGCTGATGTCTATGTTAAATATGGATGATAGACAACACTGCAACACGGGATCCAATTTATGTGAAAGATTTTATCTGACTTCTAACATTAAAGTAGCTTCATAAAAAGCTTCACTGGAATTCTATCGTTTCTATATCAATAACATCAACAATTCTTTGGGAACTAATTATATAGATCTCATATGTACATCTGTCATCAAATCTCTTTAGAAAACATTATCAGCTTGTAAAACTCTAAAACATCAAAATTTTTCTTGTTAATGACATAATAAAATAAAAATACAAAACTCGTGTGAGAAAAAACTTAAATATGTTTATAAATTCGAAGAACATGAGAAGAATATCAATTAAAAGAAGACACCAACCAAGAACAAACGTAAAAGTAAAGTAAAAATTGTAATTGATTTTTTTAAATTTTTGGATGATACTGATGACCAATTAAAGAATTTCGCCTTCTTGATCACCAGACCTTCGTTGATGATCACCTCGATTAAATGGGAAAATGTTTTGCTATTTTCGAAAAAAAAAAGATTTTGGTTGAGTAACTACGATAGTTGATAACAACATCTCATCTTTAGTACACGTTCTTGAACCCGTAGTCTTCTTCGTATTTCTGTACGTCGTTCTTCATATAGAAAGTTTGATTATTTTGTCTTCAATAAATCGTTGTATACGTCTTGCATTCGATTAGGATCGAGCCGAAATTTTATTCGAACTGCTTCTAAATGTCATTTTGTATATCGGTCAAACAAACAATAGAGAAGACGAAATCTATTTTTACCGAGTAAAATACCAAAACGACGTTCATCAAGTGCTTCTCGTCGAAGATGACTACGTTTCAGTGAAAGTGTATGACTCTTAAGCTCTTCTTCTGAGAACAATAACTTCAAAGTTTTTCTACAAATATCAACTGAATCTTTAGCTAACGTACTCAATAAGTTTATTCCATTTTCCATCTAAGAAAACGAATAGATATGAATTGTTCTAGTTTTGCTTTACAAATAATTTATTCCAAACGTACGAACTCTGTTGGATAAACTTCACCTTGTTCTGTTCTATATTGATCCAGAAGTCTAAAATTCTATAAAAGAAAAGCCGTATTACATGTTGTCTCATCTATATTTGCTGTTCTAACCTGAACAAGATGTGATCCAAGATGAAAATCGCTTCTTCTTTCGATCTTCTGAAAACTACTAATGATATTCTTTTGGAAAACTACAAAATTATTTTCTAATTGTTTAAGAGCATCGAGAGCAAAAGTATATAAAAACGAGTCAAAATATTTATACAAAACTAGGATGTTGCTTACCTTTTGTATTATATTCTTGAATTATAACTGGATCAGCAACCACATTGGCTTGTGCATTATTTTTGCTGTGATCTATAAAGAATGAAGTTTTGATGCTGTCGGCAGAAAAATACGCACTATTAACATCATCGTTTCGTTGTCGTTTAGAAGCATTACTTGGTGTTCGAGTTTGTTTTCGTTTTCGTTTATTGATCGTCGATTTAGTATCAACACAAGATGAGTTAATTAAAGAAGAATATTGATCAGGTGGTGGATTAACCTCTTCATCATCATCATTATCACTATGTGTAACTAAGCCTGGACCTATGTCATGATAGAAAACATCTTTATATCTTTATTCCTATAAAAGCTCATAGTTCATTTAAAGTTCCCATTAAGTAATAGTTCTGAATACGATCACAAACTATTCGATTTGAATTAATTTTTTCAATCCAATGAAATATTTTTTATCACATCTGTTATTTTAAAATTTATGAAACAATAAGATATGTGTAAATTATGTATTATGTATTTTCACTTGACTCAAAGTCTTTTTACCTACTACATCTGTTATATCTGATGTTGAATATCATAACATGTGTAGAGTACTTTTACTATCTACCAATTAGAGACATAAGTATGCGAATGTAAAATACGAATGTTTTGACAGATAAATTTTTAATATACATTTTTTTATGATAAAGAACCAGATGGATTGACATACCCTTCATAGTAAATAAGAAACTTTCAAGTACACTGTCTTTTCCTTTACGAAAAAAAGATCGCACTCTCGAAGCAGCCATTTTGTTTTCTTTTTTTATGCTCACAGGATTTAGTATTGAAGGAACTGTTTCATAAACTCACTGTCAGGATCTGATAACGAGCGAACATTATTCGTTGTAAGTGCTATTCGTTGACGATTTGGTAAAGGAAATGTGGCGATTGCACGATCATGATTAGAACATGGAGACAAATCAATACCTTCGCTTTCACTATCGTGTGAATCATCATCTAGAAAATACCTTTATGAGTTCAGGTACAGACAAAAAAGGATATTTACCTTGACCATCACAAGAACTTTGTTGCGATTCGCGAGTTCCTTTTCTTTGTTCACTTTCACATACAGCTAATGTTCCTAAAAGATAAAACAACAGCATTATACACATGAAAAGAATCTCAAATAGATTTTAACCGTCACCTGAAGTAATTCTAGTAGCCAAGATCTTTTTACCTCGAATATTCACTGTTGCTGTATTACTCGTGATGTTGCTTATACTACTAGATAAAGCGATCCCGTAGGAATCAGTCGGATGAAAATATAACAAATAATGAGTACAACGAGTGAAATTATCACTTGGCCAGAATATTTTGCGGGTCAACTAACTCGTTTTTCTCGCTGTGTTGTCATTTCAATATTTGATGCTCTAAAACATTCAAACAAGGACTGGTAATAATGCGAGGAATTTTCTAATACAAATATCCACTTAAGACATTCAAGTTGCGAAAAGATACTAATTACTGACGAATGAAAATCGAAAAGTAATGAAACATTTAAATTTCAGTGAATACAGTCCTATCCCTCTGTATATATTCCTTCCATTCAAAGCATTACTATTACGATATTATTTTGGCAACATACTCAAATGATAGAATTTTTATAATGTGTTATAAATCTAGGCAGTAAAACGTTTACATATATTAAAGTTGATAAAAACCTTCATTTATTCACATTCAATCGTGTGCATGATAAACTGAGAGCGGAGAAACAATTAGAGAGTTCTCTTCTTCTACAACAATACACATATCCATTGAATTTTCAACATCAACTATATCGAATTGAACAGATAGTTTGTCCAAAACAAAAAAAAGCATCAATAGGATCAAGAAGAAGATTATAATAACTTGATGCCGCAAAATAATCAGCAAAACGTTTTGTAATAGAATTTCGTTTAACAACTGCACATTTTTTATCGCTGCAAGATATGAATACAATAATACGGCCAAATAAAACACCATGTTTTATTAAATAAGAAACAGATCACTGGTTTTTGTATACTATAAAGAATGTTAAATAATCTGTTTCTTGTTCTTAAATCGTTGCTAGAATTTAATGCACTTGTTAACATTAAAACAATTACAAAATCTTTGATCGATATCGAGCAATATGTTAAAAACTTTATTAATATAATAATAAATTTAAAAACAACTTCAAGTTTAATCTTCATATAAGCACGATTAATTCATTTTGTACTGAAGTTATACCAAAAACACCTTCAGATGTGGAATTTCACGATGAGAATCCTTCATACTGATTAGAATTTTTTAATGCAAAAATCAATCTGAAACAGGAAAGACTCATTCTTTTACAATTTTTCGTTGCAAAAAATAATATCCTCAAATTATTACAGACGCTCCCATCAGAAAACCGATGCTCTCATCCGTGTTCGAAGTTGAGTTACTTTTCAACGACTGATTCAGCCCTGTTTCAGCGCTGATACAGACAAACTCGTCCTCAAGTACTCGCATTCAGGAGATTTTTTCTTGGCTGATTCAGCCGCAGCAGTTACCAATCCTATCTCAAAAGTCTTTTCTTTCTTGGTTGATTCAGCGCTGCAACAGTGCTCATTCAGGTGGAGTACTTACCAGTCTTTTCTTAAGAATATTTTCTTTTCGTCGCCGATTCAGCGCTGAAACAGCGCTGATTCAGCCGCAGTAGTTAC